ATTGGTTATGTAAAATTAAAAGTTACATTTTGTATTCAGTTGAACTTAAACATTATTCAACAATATATTCACAACTACTACTTGTTTTTCAATCCAATATTGTTTTTCCTAAAATTCGGAGAATCTTTTTTGGAAATACAGATCAATTGGAGAGAGAGGTGGGGTTTAAGTCAAGTCTTTCTTTTTTGTTTTTTATTCAAGAAGTCATTACCTTTATCCACGGCATTATTAATTATTGAAACTTACAGATTTTGACAATTCATAACCGTTTTCCAAGGAGTTTTGTTAGTTTGAATAGTCGTTTAAGTGGCTTTTCTTTGTTTGAACTTATTTCTTGTTTAAAAGAAAAATGTATTTTCAATCTTGTAATCTTTAATTCGTTTCATCTTAATGTATTTTCAATCTTGTACTTAATGTCATTTTTTGTTGAAATAATTAATTTATGGTTGCAAATAGTGCATTCCATTTGCCTCATCGGCGCATAAGTTAATTTTAATTACATTTAATGGGTTTGAGTGATTAATATGATAAGGTAAATGAGGTGACAACGTTGAAACATACACAAAAGTTACCTTGCTGTTGTGACAAAATAGTTGAAATACTCGATTCGTTTTGATCCTAATGTCACGTTGAACAAAGGTAATTTATGTAATTTTTGTTGTAGCGGAAGTCATGAAATGATATTTTGCTTTGAAGTTTCATTGTTTTTTTTTTGGATGATCTTAGCCCCTCTTTGACACACATTATTTTCAAAATTCATTTTCAACCACATATTTTTCAATAAAATAATATTTTTCATCACATCGATAACTTTTCTTTACTTTTTAACCACATATTTCTTGTCATAACACAATTTAAAATACCTTTTTCTCAATAATATTTATCAAATATACCCTTAATGCAATTCGTTCTTTGGTAAATGCAAAAGCCCATTGTACTTCTTTTTGAGTATGGACATCCAACTTGATTGGCATCGCAAAAATCTTAATGTTTGAAAGGACTCTGATCATGAATTAGATCGCATATTGCATTATTCTCGAGTTAACTAAAAAAATTGTTTCATACACGTCACTTTAATTTGAATTTTGGACTTTTTTTTTTTTTTTTCATATTTTCACACTGCATACTAGCTTTTAGATTAGTAGTCTGAGTTGATAATGAATTCTTTCAAAATTCAAACTACAGAGCTAAAACCTAAATAAATATATATATATATATATTAATATTCACATAATGTTCTTAAAACAAGGAACAAAATAATTTCTACCTTATTTTTATGACAGATAGCCAATTTTTTGGCAACTGTTTTGATTTTAACGACCTGAATTTTTAGTGATAAGTAGTCCATTTTTGCTTTTGAAACAATTGAGTCCAAAAGTTTTTGATTTTCTCATGCCAATTTATAAACGTTTTACATATTACACCTACTCAATTAAGACCAATATGAAAATCGCAATCGCCCGACTAGTTTGACCTGAAAACCCAAAAAATGGGATAAGACTGCTTCATTTACATGGCAAAAATAGATTTTACCAGTTTTTCAATTTCTATTTATAAATAAAAATAAAAATCTTATTTTTTGACCACAGCTTCAATTTTGATCCTTGCCACTTGACCTGTTTTCACATAATTGCCGGATCCAAATTAACGTTACTTAAGACACTACTTTGCGCCAAAACTTTATAACAAAAATCTCGGCCAATGACGTAACTAGTAACTATGACATGTGACTTTAAATAGAGGTTTGAGTGACTTAATTAGAGTGTCAAACCATGGTGAGGAAAAAATATATCATTTAAATATTATATTCAGCACATTGGATTATTTACTCAAAACGTAAGCGTGTAATTGGGTTCCACAGCTTCTATTTGTATAAAATTGAAAGTTATTTTTTTATTTAGTCAAAATTAAACATTAATTATAATATTATATACACAAATACTATACATTTACTAACCACACATTTAGTAGAACTTAATTGTGAACAGGGGCTAGATTGTTTTGACAAGTCA